CTGCTCCAAATTATGCTCTAACCCACTAGGTGCAACCAATTTTCTTGGGTGACTTTTTCGGTAACCGGTCCATGACAGTGGGAAAAATGAAAAAATAAATATTTTTCAAAACAATAATATTGTTCTTTTTCCTAAATAATTTCATCAATTATGTTCTTATAGTCAAACTAAAGCAATCCTTAAACTTAATGCCATATACTCCCTTAGAAATGAATTTCTCAACATTTAAAAAAAAAAAATTGTTTAAATTTCATATCTAAACACACTTTATAATAAAATTATATATATGTATATATATAAGTGAATATGAAAGCATGGGACATCTCAGAAGAGGGTGTTTGGGATAATCTAAATCATATTTTTTGTCTTTTTATGAAAAAATATGCTAAAAGTATAAAGGTGATGTGACTTAAAAAAGATAAAAAGATTAAAAAAAAAGTATATTAATATAGGGGATACCAAACAGTGCCTCCGTTCGGAGTGAGTAGTTTGGCGAGAAAAGAAAATAATTGAAGATATGAGATTTCTCATTACTTGTTTGGATGATTAATAAAGTAAATAATTGTGAGAAATGAAGACCACTTGGGTTCAAGCAAAAGAACAAGTTCAAATCAACAGTAATGTTAACGCAAAGGCTCACAACACAAGCTTAGAAGTCAACCAAATTGAACAAATGATAAGTGAAGATTATGTTTTTCATTGTGAATTGAAGAGGGGAGAATGACCAGACATCAAATGATTAATAAATATTTCTTATTATTGTAGAATTCGTCATGAAGATGGATCGCCCTCATGCGGTCAACAAACAAAAAAGTATGAATGTGTTCATATTCAACAACATAATTATACTTACCAATTGCCAGTTGAGGTATCAATGGCTTTTTGAGGTCCATCTCGATACAGACATGGGCATATTTACCCCTTGTTGTCAGACAGTTAGTTTGATCCATTAGGTTTTGCCTTGTAAGAGGGAAACCCTTTTCCTACCTTTAGTAGGGTGAACCATTTATGCTATGTCATAATACATTCAAAGAGAAAAGCTAGGACAAGGTCAATTGGTCCAATGAAACATAACTAACCAAATCTAGAGGTGTGAAATGGATAAATCTAATTCCTATAAGTCATTTTCTTATGAGTTAGTTCAATTCATGGTCAAGCTCTTTTGAGAAAAGCCCCCGGTATCGAAGTGCAACTTTTTTAGTCTATCGTGATGTAAGTCAATTATTCCTTTCCACGCAGGTCAGGTAGTGCCATTCAGGAATGGATGTGATGTAGTGTTTCCCTAACTTCTTCCACTTCCCCTAGGGCCAGAATTCTATTTCTTCTCTTCCTTCCTGTATTGCTTGTCTTGATTCTCCTAGTTACTTCTCCACTTAACTCCGCTATCAAACTAGGGATAGATCCAATGGATGCCATTTGTTCTAACTTGGTCAACACACGCCTCTTTTGTAGGAGCCATTGCATAGTTTTGAAATGTAACTATTGGATCACTTCTGGCAAAGATGTGGCACCCATTATATCTTTGCCACATGTCCTCCTTGAATCAAGAATTTTTGCATGATTTGCGCACAAAGTTTTGACTAAAATCAAGAGGTTTTGCGTGATTTGTAGGGCGTGCCAAGGTTTTGTGACTAAAATCAAGAGGTTTTGCGCGATTTGTAGGGCGTGCCAAGGCAACAGTGTCTAAGTTATAAAAACATACTTGGAAAAATTCGACTTCTAAAATAGTTTGCGTGAGGCTCAAAGAGATAAAAAAAACCTGTTGGTTCTTGTTTTGCCTCAATTAAGAGAACTTAAAATCTCCATAGAGTTTTTAATGTTAAAAAGAGAGGTAAATTCATTGGATTGAACAAATAAAAATATGAAAATAAGCATAAAAACATTCAATTGAATTACAAAATGAGATTGAAACACAATTTAAGTCTCAAAACAATGCGTAGGAAGGCCAAAAACCATTAATTGGACACGAATGTCATGAAAAACTAAGAAAACTAAAGCTAAATCTATAGTAAAGATGCCTTTTAAGTCTACTCATAAGTTGAACTAGGACTAAACTAAACATAAATAACACTGGGCTATGTACTAAGTTGTGTTGAATGTTGGATTAATTGGACTTTGCTCCATCTTCATTTCTTATATTTATAGATGCTGGAGCCTCTTGAAAATCGTGGTTGCCTCCTAAAAATCTACAACTGCCTTTTGAAAATCTCCATAAAATCTTGAGAGTTACTTTGCTGGAGAGCCTCCTGAAGTGGACATCTGTCCCAACTCCCTTATTCTTTTCAGCAGGTGGTTAGTTTGTTCCTCTTAGATAGGGTTGATCAAATCCTCTTTCAATCTGGACCATTAGATGGTGTATGGAGGTCTTGGATGGATGCCATCTGTTTTGACTTGGTCAACACACTTTTTTTTTAGGAACCATTACATATTTGTAAAATGTAACTATTGGATCACTTTTGGCAAAGATGTGGGACCCATTGGATCTATGCCACATGTCCTCCTTCTTGAACCGTTTGAACCTTTCCAATATCCACATGTATCTAATATATTAATATTAATATACAAATACATATATTCTCATATATCCAATTAAGAGAAGGAGAAGGAAGCCTGTGGCCTTGTCCTTATCTTTTGAGATTTGATCAAATCAGAATTATAATTACGGTAATGATACATCTCATTAAAAATGGTGTTCTAAAACACCATTAATGAGTTGACAAGCACTTTAAATAAAATAAAAAAAACAAGGCACAAGCAGTGGGCCTCGTCCACTGCCACATTACTAGTGGTGCTTTTAGAACACCACTTTTAGTGGTCTCAAGCATTATTGTTATAATTATGATTGTAGCCTCCTTTTTCAAAACTTGCCACCGGAATTTTGCTACGATCACATGCCTTTGACAACAGCATGTACACGTGGCACCCATTCATTAGATTGTCGATTTAGTAAGCTTAATTAAGGACTTGAGTAGTGGGGGCACCCTCTTAATCAACGGTGCGCCCAGAGAATATTCGGATCGCCAAAATAAACTAGGGAAAAGCTTCCCACAAGCAAGGCTGACAAAGAAGAGTAAGGATCCTCTAGAGTTTTTTTTTTCTTAAAATTTTCTAGAGTGGTTTGTTGTATGGTTAAGATTTAATGACAAGTCACGTCAATTTTTTAGCATTAAATCTTACTCATACAACACACCACTTTAAGAAATTTTAGGGAAAAAAAACTCTAGAGGATCATTGGTGGACAAAGAAAGGACGAAAAGAATGTCGGATTACATACCTGAAGAATTGCTGATGGATATCTTTGCAAGACTACCAGTGAAGTCTCTCATTCGATTGAGGTCAGTTTGTAATTCCTGGTACTCCTTAATTTCGAGCCCAAGTTACATAACCACACACCTCAACCGAACTAAGAAATCAAACACGACTCTTCCCCAACTACTCATCAAGTGCGAATCTGTGTATCAACAGCACTACTTGTCATGTTTCGATGACGAAATGTTTGGGGTTAAGTATGAGGAACTTGAATCCCCATTTGACATCTCTGTGAAATTCTTCGATATTAAGGGTTCATGTAATGGTTTGTGTTTATTAAAAGCTTCATGCAAAGTTGATTTTTTTCCAGATTTTAGTTTAACACCAAAACTCAACTTCTTTGCATTAAAACACATTTTTTTGGGGCCAAAATTTAAGAAAACTCTTAAAAACTCATAGAACATCATGAATTGAAAATCATTTCGCAAAATCAAAGCCTAAAAAGCTTGTCAATTCTTCAAAACCAAGTTGAAACTTTTTATACAATCATATGCATGTAATGACATGAACCAAGACATGGATTCATGGAGTGAAAAGTGTAAAAACATGCTGGCTTCTCAAACTTGAGCATGAAGAACACCATGCATGTGAGTTTTTGTTGAAATTTAAATTCAAAACTTGGTGAATTATGCATGCATGCATGATTTGACTCAAATTCCATCACTCTTAGTTCAATTCAAGTGTATATCTCTAAATTCCTATAAATTCTTATGTAAGGTAGCTTCCTATCTCAAAATGAGAGTTGAATTTTTACCTAGAGTCTACAATTTTCTAGCAATTCTTGAATAAGCTTTCTAATTTTCTTCAATTCTCTAGCAGTTCTTCCTTGTCTCTTCTTTGATCTCAAATTATCTCCTACTCTCTCCCCACGTTTTGACACCAAAGAGATGAAGTGTAGAGTGTATATGGAATGTTCTTGAGCCAACATTAGCTTTATATAGGTTCACTTAGCATTGACTAATTAAGAGGGATTAAAACTAGTCAATCTAGTTTAATTTACTTAATTTATTCTAATTATTTGATTCTGAATTGAACTCTAATTAAACTTATTATAAAATTCTAAACAACACGTAAATTTAAGCAATTTCATATTCGGATGCCGATAAGGCCTTCAATTAACAGAACAAAGTAAAATTTTGAATAAATATTCCTACGACTGACTAACAAATAAGAATTCAAATAACATGCAAATCACACTAATTAACATATAATTTCATTCTTAGAACTTAATTAACATTTTTAATCATGAATTATGACCTAATTACAAATCAAGATTGTTACGGTAAGAGTCTTGAATGGATGCCACCTGTTCTAACTTGGTCAACACACGCCTCTTTTGTAAGATACGTTATATATTTTTGAAATGTAACTATTGGATCACTTGACAAAGATACTGCACCCGTTGGATCTATGCCACATGTCCTCCTTCCTGAGCCGTTTGAATCTTTCCAATGGATAATGATACATTCCACTAAAAGTGGTGCTCTAAAGCACCACTAATGAGTTGGCAATCACTTTCACTAAAAAAAAAATAAAAATACAAGATACAAGCAGTGGGTCCCGTTCACTGTCACATCACTAGTGGTGCTTTTAGAGCACCACTTTTAGTGATCTCAAGCATTATTGCTTTCCAATATCCACATGTATCTAGTATATTAATATTAATATCCACATATTCCCATATATCCAATTAGGAGACGGAGAAGGAAGCCTCTGGCCTTGTTCCTTATCTTTTAGAGTTTGGTCAAATCAGAATTAAAATCATGATTGCAGCTTCCTTTTAAAAACCTGCCGCCGGAATTTTGTTACAATCACATGCCTTTGACAACAGCATGCACACGTGGCACCCATCCATTAGACTGTCGATTTAGATAAGCTTAATTCCGGACTTACGTAGTGGAGCCACCCTTCTAACCAGCACTGCGCCGAGGGAATATTCGGATCGGCAAACTAAACTGGTGAAAAACTTCCCGACAGCAGAGCTGACGAAGGAAGGACGAACAGAATAATGTCGGATTACATACCTGAAGAATTGTTGATAGATATCTTTGCAAGACTACCGGTGAAGTCTTTGATTCGATTGAGGTTAGTCTGCAAATCCTGGTACTCGTTAATTTCGAAACCAAGTTTCATAACCACACACCTCAATCGAACTAAGAAATCAAACACAGCTCTCCCCCAACTACTCATCAAGTGCGAATCTGCGTATCAACAGCACTACTTGTCATGTTTCGATGACGAAACGTTTGGTGTTAAGTATGAGGAACTTGAATCTCCATTTGACATCTCTGTCAAATTCTTCGATATTTTGGGTTCATATAATGGCTTGTGTTTATTGAAAGCTTCATGCGAAGTTGATTTCTTTCTGTGGAACCCATCGATTAAAAAAATCCTAACACTTCCTCCGATTAAGGTTACTACTTTTCCTGATCATAGCTATACCGATGGCGTTGCTGTTGGATTTGGGTTTGATCAGAACAGTAATGACTACAAAGTGGTGTTGATTAGGTATTTGTTTAGATCCATCAGTTTACGCTATGTTTGTCAGGGTGTGGAGCTTTATGAGCTTAGTACTCACTCTTGGAGATCCATTCATGGTGTTGGTTGTTTTCGGTATGAAATTTTTCGCAATACACCTTATGTGTTTTTGAATGGGGCTGTTCATTGGGTTGCATCGGTTCGTCGTTTAACGGCTTTTATGGTTGTGGCGTTTGATATGAGTGATCAAGTTTTCAGGGAGATGGCATTGCCGAACCGTCTTGTTCGTGGAAGTCCAAACCATGTATTTAACGTAAGTCCTTGTGAAATGATGCGTGTCGCGATATTGGGTGAGTCGCTTGCTGTAATCCAATCTGACCTAGATATAAATCCCAGAACTTTTGATATATGGGTAATGGAAGAATATGGTGTCGTGGAGTCGTGGACTAAACGATCCACAATCGTTCTACAAGGGGAATTTTGGAGGGTTGTGGGTTTGAGGAAGAATGGTGATGTGCTAATGGTTGCAGAGGGAGAAGGAGATAATGAGTTGGTTTTATGTGACTCCCAAAGCCAACAGATCAGGCATCTTGGAGTCCGAGGCTATCATTACTGTTTTCAGGTTGTTTCTTACATAGAGAGCTTAGTTGGATTAGATGGAACTGTCACAGTTGCCAACAAGAAAGCATCAAGGCGAAAGAGAGAGGCAAGTTGATCCCCTGCTTGTACTTTAGAATTTTAACACTTGACTGTTATAGTTTGTAATTTTGTTCCTCTTAGATTCACGGTAATTACATAAGCTACATATATATGTATATATATAATTTGAACATCAATCTTGCATCAAAATATTTTTTCTTGATTGGAATATTGTTCATAACTGATTGGGTATATGCATACACGCTTACATAAAATTTCTTATTCAGTGTAAAGTACCTCTATATATGTAAAGATAAGGTCAAGTGGAGTATTGAAATTCTGTTCCTAACACCTTGAAATTTTTGATACCTCATTTTACAGTGTTGTTGCTGGATATGGGGATGAGGAACTTCTTACAAACAGCATAAAAGGGTAGGTGCTTTTTCTCATATTTTCTATAATTCTAGGTTGAATTGTACTGCCTTCATCTGATGTATGTGTGTTTAGGAGTAGTGTATATTGATTGGAAGAATTTTGTACTGTCATACCGATTGTCTTTGATGTTATACCAAAAATATATGTTTGTCATTCTCTGCTGCTTTTTGATGAATTGTTTCCTACTAAACTGTGTTTGTGCTTGTGTTGTATAATCATGGATCAATCTACTTTGTGAAAAGTAACTTGGGTGGTTTAGTGACTCATGTACATTAGATTAATGTGAAAGATTAGGAAGTAGGCAATCATAAGTTCAAAAAATATATCTACAATACAAATGTAATGAAGGTTTGATATCTCAATTATACTGTATACCCAAAATATAAATGTTCTGATACTTCTAACTTGTAATCGAAAACTGTTTATCCCGTTCCCTTAAATGACTCACAAGTATTAGTGAAGAAGATTTGCAATGAGGTTGAACAATATATTTGCCAAAGATCTAGCATCATTACCATGTAATAATGGAACCACTACCTATTTCAAAAACAAATGTACTTTGAAACTTGTTTTTAAGAGACAAGATGACCCTTGGTAGAGTTCATTGAAATTTTCTTATATTTGCCAATTGCTATCTCATGAATTAGGCTTTGACTATATGGAACACTGCAAGAGAATCATTTTCTCAAATAGGCAAGAAAATTTCTTGGTAGCTTTATCCACCATTGATTTCCAATGAGTTTTATGTTTTTCATCCTAAATTCCTAATAGTTTCTTTGACTTCATTTGGCTGATTAATTATGATCCAGTGAACGGTACATTCAAGGATTGGATCATAGTTCAGGGGATGCCAAATTGGTTTTGTACTGTTGTTTGCTCATGTGGGCAGCCTCAATTGGATGAATACTCCTATTGGTATGTAACATAAGAAAGTAGAGATTATCACTTTTTTGTACTGTTGAGTTTGCCTGGTACAAAAACAATGCTACTCTGTTCTTCTGCTCCAAATCATGCTCTAACCCTCCATGTTTGCTAAGTTGACTTGTAAATGTGACAATTCTATGGAGTTCATAGGAAGTTCCATACACTCATGATCTGATATGGGAAACTAATGTCATTCTTTTGATATCTTCAAAACACACACAGAATATGTCATGCTTGTCTAGGCAGAGTTGCACTGGAACTACATAAACAGTTGTGAATCCAATATGATCAGATTTATTGTGGATGTGGCTCAAATTCAATCTCAATTATGCTTATTATCCATTATTGACAACGGTCACAAATGTTGCTAGGTCCAAAGTGTTATTTGTATTTGGGTCTATTTTGACCCAATTTTCTATTTGTTGAATCCTGGTTATGTATTAGCTTATTTCAGTTTTATAGTATTGAAAGCTTTTGTTACAAAGGATCGTGTTAGGACTTGAGCAAGCAGACTCATTGTATTCGCTACATACGTAGTAAAACTCTTTCACTCACCCTCATCGGCTGTGAATTGCCTCGTGAATTGACTATATGTATTTTGGATATGCATCTGCTATATCTATCTATCTATCTATCTATACTATTATAAAGTGAACACCTCTTACGGTGTCCTGAAGCTTTGTTTCTTATGCTGCCACGTGTTCACTTTTTTATTTAAAATTAAAAAAAAAAAGTTAGATATATAAGTGGTGTATACTTGAACTTTAGACTTATATCAAATGAATAAGACTCTAACCACTTGACTAGCACATAACATATAATAAATTTTTCATTTTATTTTTATTTATTTGAATAGCACATGCATCGCGTGTGGCAACCGCTAGTTATTATTATTATATATATGAACAACTCACTTTAGTCTCTTGAAGCCTACTCTCTCCTTTTACCAAGTGGATGTTTTTATATCAAAAAAGAAAAAGAAAAATTATAAAGTGAAGTGCACAAGATTTGAACCTAAGATCTTAAGTTTGAAAAATAACAGCCTCACCACTTGATCAACAAGCACTACATATATTTCTAATTCAAAATCAAATTTTATATTTACAAATTTAATAGCACACCCTAGTATAACTAAATAGGATCAATTATGCGATGCAAATTGGCCAATATTGAAAACCATGGATGAATCATTGAGAATTCATACAAAGCAATGCTTAAGAAAACTCAAATTATATCTTTTTTGATAAAGAGCAAAAACAATGATAGGAGTATCAACTGAATTAAGCTAGGCTGCCAAAATGAACAATTGTTTGAAACAGTTCTGGCATCCCCTGAAACATTAGCTTCTCAAATTTTCCACTCTCTGGATCATAAGACATCAAAACTCTACCTCTATGCTGTACCAAAACATTGCCATTCTTTAAAAGACAGAGAACTTGAGCAGGTCTCACCTGCGAAATCTTCCTCCAAATCGCATACGATTGCTTCAATTCTGGTTTCAACACCACCCGAGGCACAGAACTAGTTCCAATGTTGAACTCCTTGATCCAAGACTCTTTCACATCGTACACTCTCATAACCCAAATCTCCAAATCCTCGTAATTACAAAATGCCACGGAAAGACATTTTCTTAACACTGTCAAATGATAGTCACACCGTTCTTGCCCACCTGGTCTCGGGACCTCTCTAAACTTTTCATCACCTAAATCGAAAGATACTATGCTCCGTGCATAACGACTTTCACATTTATGCCGCAAAGTCAACCAATGAAGTCTTCCATTCACCAGTGCTTCTGATGATCGTTGCTCGAGCTTGTGAGGTAAATGTACCCGTCCGAGACTTCTCCAACCAGGACTCCAACTACTGTATACGAAGACCTCTGATCGTGCACGGTAATTATGGATTCTAAAATAGGGGGAAGGCGGGTTTTTGTTATGTCTTTTCCAATTGTAAATCACTTTAACGACCTTGTACACATGACTCACATGATCGAACCCAAATCCAAACACGACCTTTTGCTCCCCAAACTGTATTGTTCTTGGCAGCTCTTTGAATTCCCTTGTAAAAGGATTGCATATATACATTGTATCGCCATTTACATTGTCTGATAAGCATCACAAACCATTACAAGAACCTATTATGTTGACCTCAGGCAACAACACATCAGAGAAAGGCGTGCTGAGTTTTCTCACAATCTGATTGTTGTGATCAGAGAGTTCCGCAAAGCAAAGCTGCTTGCGGATTGGATCATAACTATGGAACATCAGACACGGGTTGTTCTTCGATGTCCGGTAATATTGAAGTTCAGCGAGATGAGGATAGTTTGATAATATTTGAAAGGTTCGACTTGCGAATCGCAATCGAATGAGAGAGGTTATGGGTAGCCTTGAAACTATGTCGATGGCTAAATCAAGAGGTAGGCTCTCTATCATAGCAGTTGTTGGTTCATCGGTGTTTTCATGGTTTGTTTTTGTTTTCTTGCTGCTCTTTTTGAAATCCATGGTGGATCGGATACAAAAGTATCAGGGGAGAATCTAGAGTATATATATCATAGAATTCTAGTTAGCGTGAATTTGTGTTGTTTAGGTTTTGTAAAATTGATGATAAGTTGGAGTTATAGTTACAGTTGGATTGAAACACTGAATTGCCATCTGATTTTTGAAATCCTGTATATATCTAGATATACAAGAAGCTCTTTCTTCTCCATGGCTCCTCTTTTTTTTCTTATTTTGTTCTTTCATTTTGAATAATTTACTAATGATTGCCTATATGTTGAGTAAAAGTTTTTTCCATAATTATACAAACATTCTTTGTCAATTATGCAACAAATTTTTTCTTAATTACATAAATATTGTTGGTCAATTATGAAACAGGTTTTTTTTGTAATTATACAAATATTCTTGGTCAATTATCAACCATATTCTTGGTCAATTATGAACCATAAATCTTTTATTTTTAACAAATTACAAATACACCCATAAAGTTTGTTTAAAATATAAATCGGTCTTATAACACTAGAAATTATAATTATTAATTGTTATAAATTTTAATTTAACACAATACCCAAGGGAAAACAAAGTATCAAAAAATTTTATTGAAAAATATTTCTCATATCATGAAAAATTATTAATTGACTTAATGATTTATTTATTAACAAAATGGTTAACTGAAAAATATTTTTCATATCATTAAAAATTGTTAGTTTACTTATGAATAAAATTAATCATTTATTATGCGAGTATGATTTATGTATTAATAAAATTAGTCATTGTATGGATGTATATTCTTCTGTTTCTTTATTAGTTCAGTCGTTTATCTTAGTAGTTTTTTTTATATGAGAGAATTATCTTAGTATTTGTTTTATATTTATCTGCTGAGAAAAGTTACACACTATAATTTTGTTTTTGTTTTGTTTTTGTTTTTTATTTATTTATTTATAAATTTGGAAGAAATATTAAAAACTCATAAATTCACCTAAAATGATATTGTGATAGAATTGAGGTAGACATCATTGGGTATATAACAAATCAAAAAATGATACATATCATACCACATAATTTTATGATATATCTAATGATTTATTCTTTTCAATTTCATAAAACAATAGATGAAATTTTAAAAAACAATTATCAAAATATAAACCTTAAACATACTATAATAATATCCTGTGCAAGGATATATATATATAAGAACTGCTTAGTTGCTTGAGGTTCGTCTTTTCTTTTTGATTTTGTCCTTTCACATGGAGACATAGTTTGGGAAGTTGGTTTTGGTGGGTTAGGGGCTAAAATATTCACAAAAAATAAAATAGGCTATTTTAGGCACAAAAAATAAAACATCAAATCCAACCCATAATCATTACACTCATCTCTTACAAAAAAAGTCAAAAAAGCTAAAAAGCCAAAAAATCCTTCCCAAATCAGACTTTTTAGCCTCAGGCTAAAATAGCCAAAAAGTCAAAAAGCTAAAAAGCCAGTCCACTTCCCAAACGGAGGCTGAATAATTTACAAAGGGTGGTCTCCTTGTTGAGTGAAGGTTTTTTCGTAATTACGCAAACATTCTTGGTCAATTATGAAATAGGTTTTTCTAGAATTATGCAAACATTCTTGGTCAATTATGAAACATAAATTTTTTATTTTTTAACAAATTACAAATACACTCATAAGGTTTATTTAAAATATGAATCGGTTCAAAAATACTAAAAATTACAACTATCATTTGTTATAAATTTTAATTTAACACAATACTCAGGGAAAAAAAACTATTGTCCTATGCATTAATAAATTATCAAAATTATTTATTGAAAAATATTTCTCATATCATTAAAAAAATGTTAATTGACGTAATGATTTATTTATTAACAAAATGGTTAACTGAAAAATATTTTTCATATCATTAAAAATTATTAATTTACTTAATGATTTACTTATTAATAAAATTGATCATTTGTTATGCGAGTATGATTTATGTATTAATAAAATTAGTCATTTGTATATATATATATATATATATATGTGTGTGTGTGTGTATGTGTGTGTGTTTTCTTCTGCTTTTTTATTAGTTCAGTAAATTATCTTAATAGTGTTTTTAGAAGGGAGAATTATCTTAGTATTTATTTTATATTTATCTGTTGAGAAAAGCTATACACCATGATTTTTTTTTTTTTTTATAAATTTGGAAGAAATATTAAAGACTCATAAATTCACTCAAAATGATATAGTAATAGAATTGGAGTCTACATTATTAGGTGTATAACAAATCAAAAAATGATACATATCATACCATATTTCTATGATATATCTTATGATTTATTTTATTCAATTTCATAAAACAATCATTGAAATTTTTAAAAAATTATCAAAATATAAAACTTAAAAGTTTTAAACTAGTATATATATATATATATATATATATTGTATGGTTGCAAAATGATATAGTAATAGAATTGGAGTCTACATCATTAGGTGTATAACAAATCAAAAAATGATATATATCATACCATATAATTCTATGATATATCTTATGATTTATTTAATTCAATTTCATAAAACAATCGTTGAAATTTTTAAAAAATTATCAAAATATAAAACTTAAAAGTTTTAAACTAGTATATATATATATTGTATGGTTGAGGTTTAATTTTTTTTTTTAAGGATGAATTAGTCCTTTTAGGGGCTTGTGTTTAATTGTGATACATTGGATCCTAAATTTTGAATCTTGTTTCAAATAAGAATAATCAAAGATATTTTCTTTACAAATGATCTATTTTAAGGGTAAAGTTGTCATACAATTTATTTTGTGGTGGTTAACTTGTATGTATGTTTGAAATGTAATAGCCTTTTTTTTTTTAATGAATAATGTTATAACTTTATTCATTATAAAGTTATGTTTGGTTTGGTTTTCCAAATCTATTTTCAATTTTTTTAAGAAACTAAAAATTAAATTGGTAAAAAAAAATTAAAAACACATCATATTTATATAATTTTATCTTTTGAGAGGGTAGAAATAATTTTTTTTAATAATTTTTTTTTGATATTTTTATTTTGTAAAATTAGTTTTTATTTTTTCGAAAGTCAAACATGGTGAAAATTTTGATATCCTTATTAAACCAATCCATTAAATTAAAAAATCTAAAATTAAAAACATTTTGTATGTTAAGCATATTTATTACACATTAAAAGTCTAATAACCATCCATTACATGATAATCATTCAAAAATATATGTTAACAACAAATACAATTATCTATTACATAATAATCATCCGAAAACATCAACAAATATAACCGCTCATCATATACTAAAAATTAATTTGGTAAAAAAATAAAAAAATAAAAATGTAAAAGATTTATTATTTTTATATAATTTTATCTTTGGTGTGTTGAAATATTTTTTGAAAATTTAAAAATAATTTTTTAACATTTATTTTTGGCAAACTAATTTATATTTTATTAAATTGACTATTTTGCCAATAGTATCTTAGATTGTCCTTATTTAGAACGAAATTCAAAATTCAAAATTCAAAATTAAATGTATCTGTTGGCTTTTTTGGCTTTCGAAGGTTATGATTGTAATTTTGAACGTGCCAGTAAGGATCAATCAGTTCTTACAGAATATTAATTGCCAACCAATTATCAGACAATTGCGTTTTAGTTCTTTCAGTCTCAATGAATAGGACTTTTACTGCTGGCTTTGTTTAGAAGAATTAAGTAAACAATGATTAAATGAAGAATAATTGTAGCATTTTATTAAGTAAAATGGAAGACTTACAAAGATCCAAATCAGCCTCGTAGAGGTTTACAGTAACAAACTACTTGAAACTACTCCTATGAATGAAGTGCAGTACAGGAATTTGAAGTACAGGAATGTAAAGAACAAGAAATGTAAAAACTGGAAGGAAAATAAAGTAGATAAAATTGATTTTTTGGATCTGAATCTAGGGCCTCTTTCTGGGACTTTCTTTGCTATTTATACTTCTCAATGATAACCGTCGAAATGAGTTTCTAACCGTCAAATCATTCCTCCATGATTGTTGATCATGTTTCCTCACAGTTAGCTCTACTACGCCATGCCTGCAGTTAGGCTTCTCTCTTGATTTTTTGAATTTAAATATGAGTAACCGTTAAAGTCACGTCATTTTACATCTCTCTGCTGATTCAATGCTATGTAGATCCACAATAACCAATACTAATTGCCACGTGTATAATTACGATTGAAGATTTGAATTGTCTTCCCATATTTCCCTCATCCTGCCACGTGTTAAACTGTGATTGGCCTATACAAAATATGTAGCCAACATTACCCACCACACTAATATACCCAATACTTGGTGATATTAGTGGATTGAGATATTTTACCCATGTCTTAGAACGTGCATGGGCTTTGCACTTTTCAGAAATGCAACCGTCATTCATTAATGAAACATTTGCATTAAATTCTGTTCTATCCTTTGATCATCCCCACTATCTCAGTATTCGAAAAGAATGATACATCTTTCATGGCCAAGCAAGTATTTTCTTACATTGATCAAGCATACGAAGAGTTATTTGATAATGCTGTTCGTCCTCGAAAGAACCTTCATGCATT